GCCCCCCTTAGGTGCGTGCCTGGGGCATGCCGCTTGCCTGGAAAGGCTGTCTGAGGCTCAGGACTTTAACCAGTGTAAGCCCAGCCAACCTTCCTCCAGCTGATGCCGCAAAGGCCAACGAGAGTAGAGCATCGGCTTTGTTGCCTGGAGCGTCGTTAGTGCTTATTCCAACGGATAGGCCGTTTAGGGCACGTGGGAAAGGATAATCCGGCACAACCCACAAGTGAAGGCCCATTTCGTCGTAACCGTTCATGATGAGGATATATATTTCTATATGTCTCGAAACGCTGACCTAAGATATGCATTTCAAACCGGTTAAACGATTTTCTGAACGGGATTGTGAAGCGGTAGAGCACTGCGGCAGTGTTCCGGACAGCTGAATATAGGCAAGCGAGCATTGTAAAAGTATTTTTAAAAATATTACGCTCAAAACTAAGGAGTAAACCCGCAAAGGAACCGATCCCACGAGCACTTACTTGAGAGCGCGCACCATGACCGCTGCGCTTTGCAACTTTATAACTTTGTCCAGAGAACCGTTCAGCAGACTTCAGAGCCATACTTCAGCATTCAAAATCGCATATAGGAATGCATATCTCATCCTGAATGACCATGGCGTTCCTGAAGGGCTTTCCTTGTCAGGGTGGCGAGAGTTGATGAACGCTTCGGTTGATGGCGTGCAGCCAACAGTTGCAAAGATCGCTTCCAAGCAAGCCTTTTCTCTACCCCAAGGGCGTGATTAACGGTTTTTTTTGCTCTCTTATTAAATTTCAATCAAATTGACACCCAGTTTCTTGTTGAGCATTCACCGCACCAAAACCATCATCGACGCATCTTCGAATTGTTCCTATAAAAAATGAACGTGTAAAAAAAGGTATTTCGCTGGTCCTCAAAAATAATGAGGCAAAAATCACTAGATAGGTAAACTTTTCGGCATGTACTCAGAATTTTTCCCCTGGAACTATCCGCTCGGCGATAGGATTCTCATACACCGGACCACTGATTACAAGGTCGACCTCAGCAGGGTGACCAATTTATGCATTATTAGGCCCTCATCCAATATTAGGGGGAGGGGCATGTGGTGTGGCAGCTCATATCGCTTAAAATAATCCAAGTGTTAGTAAAGGAAGGAAACTCCGGGGCGGGATACGAGATTTTTCACAAACCCCTGGGATTTCCTTCACTTTGCAAAAATTGGAATTTTGATAGGTGGTAGTAGCTGTAGCACAACATGCTCCCCTATTGAGAGACACCCCATTATCATATCCCCAAACAAGTCTAAGATTCTAGATGAATGTTATTTGTGTGATGTGCGCCGAAGTATTTTTCACGGCCAAGTGCTTAATTCTTCTTATGAGTCGTCACGATGTTTTTCAGTCCTCTAAGTCTTCTATCCTTTTTCTACTTTGAAGTGGTTTGGTCCGGAAAATGGTCATCATTTCAGCCGCTGGGCCACTACAGGTTTTCCAAAGGAAATTCATTAATAATTTTTTGCATAGGCGACAGGCATATCAGGAAATTGTGGTAAGTAGATGTGGGAAATTTCTGAAACCGGTCGCGGAACCCTCGACATGAACGAGCATGAAGGAAAACAGGTGGCGACGTCAGAGACTTTGTGCAGTCTCTATCTTGCGGGAATGGGAATCAGTTTCCCAGAAGTTTCCCTCTAGATGAAGAATCATGTTGACTCATCCCCCCCCCACGAGGAGCGATTCCCGACAGCCGTGGCGAGTCACATTTCACCCGATGTGGAGCGGGCAATGCCGACGAGGGTCGACGAGGCCGTCAGGGGATTTTGCGCTGGTTAGTATTAACGGCTGTCGGGTGTTCTAGTGAAAGGGTCAAAAGTAGACCCAGCACCTGCTGATCATCGAATTAACAACGCTCAAACGTATTTTGAGTCAGAACGGAGCTTAAGAGAGTGACAAGCGGTTTCCCGTCAGACAAATAGTCTGCAGCGAAATGAACGTATCCGCACGAGCAATTGCGCCTGCGTCTTTAGTTTTTTATGGTCGAGACCAAAAAGCGCTGTTACGACTGTCTCGTTAGGTGTTATGATGATTACTCAGACAAGTGAAAGCATTAGATCATAACTAAAACTAATGGCCAACTGCTGCCTCGGTACAGCGGCGATCTGAGCAAGCCTATCATGTGCGGCTAAATATAGCTACGTGCATGCATAAAAAGGAAAATGCTATTATCCAGGAGATATTAATCAAAAAGTGGACTAAGATTCG